ACATGCTGAAGAAAACCTTTTTCTTCCCAAACTCTTGGCAAAGGGCTCATCAGGATTCTACTTAATATAGAAACGGTAATTTACACCAGTTCCAAATAATTTATTCTGGCACATCTAATGTCTGTGTATATCGTTTAGACACATACACACACATACCTTTCAGCTCACTGTTTAAAACAGCATTTTTGTTTTCATTACTGTGTAGTTATTTTAAATTGAATTTCTTCCCCAACCTTCAGCTGCTGTGTCCAATAGAACCCTTTAGTACTGCTTGTATGACAGAACATTTAATCTGTTAGGGCAGAAGCACAATGAAAAAAATCAACACTTTGACAATGCTGGTATTGAACCAAGCTCCACGAACAAAGATTGGGATATTTGTGAATTTATTTTCCAAATCCAGATGAACACCTATCTGCTGACCCAGTAATAAGCTCTTAAAGGGGACTGCTCACCAGAGAGCTGCTTCTGGTAAAGTAACTCCAAAGCACGGAGACAAGTGTGCACTTCTTGTCAATATAACTTTCTCCTCTAGAAAAAGAAAGCAGATGAGATGATGGGAGTTTTGTACAATAAACTATGGAAGCAATTTTGACAGCAGATTTATTATAAGCCAGTCACTTAAACAGGCAGATAGCTGGAAGTGCTTACAGCTCTGCATTCTGTGGATACGTGGTGTTGGAACAGAGTTTTGTTACACGGCACTCATACAGCACAACAAAATGGTCTCATGCCCACTTAAAGAAAAAAAAAAACAGCTTTCTTGAGTCTCTACCCAGCACTTCTCAAGTCCTTATTCTCTTCTGAAAGAAAAATCATCTTCATAGCTTTTTGCTCCTCATTTATCTACAGCACTATTATGGGCAGCACGTCTTGTTTTTTTATTTTTTAATAAAGGAAAAGTAATTTCGCTGGTCTGCTCCTAGCAATACAGCTTAAATTCACACTGATTTTTCCTCAATCTATTAAAATGTTTTCTTTGTCAGGTTAGGGAATACATCAGAGCACAAGAGATTTACAAGACAAGTTGAGGAACCCTAAAATACAAAATTGGACTCATTTTTACTCAAGCCTTTGTATCCATTGTGCCTGAAGTTGTCAAACCAGAACCAGACTTCCCATTCCTTATTGTTTATAGCGTGCTTATTTCTGCAAAACTACAAACGTCACAACAAATGACCCTAAAAAGCAGCATAAAGAACACGAGTCTCAGCGCTTACAGTGGTGAGCAAGTTCTTGTTCTGGCAATTTCCTTCCAGGCACAGAAGATAGATGGTTCATTTGGGAGCACTGAGCAAGCCCAGTGCCACAGAGCTATCCAAGTCCAAGGGTTTTCAGCTGAGACCCCTAAAAATTCCCATTAATACTAACTGACCCTCCTGTGTGTGCCAAGGAATGCAGCTGCATGAATATCAAGTCAATCCTGCGCTTCCTCTTCTCTTTCTGCCTTGCCATCTCACAGCGGCTCCAGCTGCCATTTCTCAGCAGCACGGTGCTGCAGCAGAGCCTGCTGGGTGTCGTGGTTGATTTGAGCCCTGGGCTCCCAGCTCCCAGCCCTGCCAGCCCACTCAGGGCACAGCACTCAGCTCTGAGGGTCTGGGAGCAAACATCACAGTTTGCTTTGGAGATGCGGTGGCAAGAAAAATAATGCAAGATAAACTAAATATGTCTGTGCATTTGTTTCACAAAGAGGGGGAAAAAAAAAACCCCAAACCTAAACCTAACAGCCTTCTTATTACTAATAACATCAAAAAGCATGAACAAAATAAGTCATTCTCATTTTCAGAAGTGTTGCACGAGTACACTTTCCTGGTCACATGGAAGGAGATGACAGCTTTCAGCACTTCAGCAAACGCTGCTCTGAGATTCTGTAACAGAAGGAAGGAAGCAGCAGCCAGATGAGAAGCATGTGAGGGAACGCATCTATTAGCAAGTACAGGGAGATGTCTTGTTAATAGAAGACAGAAGGAGGGACAAAGCAAGCAGAGAAAGCAGCCAGCAGTTAGTCACTTTTCCATACAGATATGCTTGGCTAGAGATGAGACACATATCAAGATTGTATTCTGTACTTTCAGAGTCAGTGAAAACCAAAACTGAAAAGCAAACGAACACCAAAAGGCCTCCCTCCAAAACTGAGCTACAGTGAAATCAGGTGAGAGATGCCACCTGACGTGCCAAGTTCTGTCTCTATTCAGCATCCTTGGGAACCCTATGATAATAAAAACAGGGAGAAAATGAAAATTTTACCGACACTGCTTGCATAAGACAGAAACTTTCCATTTCAAAAAATATCTTTTTATTAAAAACCGCTGCTGAAGTTTCTGAATAGCTACTGGTGTCGGTCCAAAGCTTCTCACTTCCAAATCAGGGCAAACTGAAAGGCAGCCAAAGGCCAGCAAAGGACAAACGACTACCAAGCATCAGCTTGGCCATTAAACCCCTTGTCCAGCTCCTTCTGGGAGCAGAAGGGAGGATGAAATGCTGAGCATTGCTATTAGGAATGTAAAGCACGAATAACAACTGCGAAAGTTCCTTTAAAACACAGGGAAATTAATAAAAATTCAGTAATGCTACCTGCAACTCAAATTATATTTTTAATACCAAAGTAAGCAGAGTCAGCATTAAAATACACATTTTTAGAAGATCTTTTGTCCAAAGTAGCATCTATATAAAGTCCTTATTAAGAGTGCTTCCTGCACCCCTCTGCAAGCTGATAAGGATTACTGCAGTGCCACTGTTTGCTCTGGTTTGATATCCTAGAATGACATTTTGGCACATAAGCAGTTGTATATACTCAGGTTTAAGAAAAGCATTAGGTAACATAGTTGTTCTGAGCAATATTTAATATATGCTCGACTCATCACACTGTCACTCAGCCCAAAGACTGAACACAGAACTTTATTTTCATAACATAAATCAAAGCACAAAAGACAAAGAATAGTTACTCCTTTCCCAACTAATCAATAAATCTAAAATAATAATAATAATAATAATAATACAAAAAAAACTCTAAAGTGCCACTGGCAAATTTGTATTGAAACTAAGAGTCTTTTTCCCAAAATGTGTCCCTTCAAGGAGATGCATAACTTTGCACCTGCATGTTTTCTTCCTTTGCACTTCATAGAGATCGAAGAAAGAAAATAACAAAATTATTCATCATTATTTGCATGAAACTACAACAAAAAACAAGATATTAAGATTCCATTTGTCACACTTTTTTTTCTCATAAAACCACTTTTCAAAAGTCTATTTTTATGTCTTTTAATAATCTGCCTCTGCCTTGTGTTGGATACACGACATCGAGCTCAACAGGTGTTTGATTTCATTTCATATAACTATTATTCTCTTCTTAAAACACACCAAGATAGCAAATAACAACGAAATCTGAAAGGGCAAAGAAGTCAGAGAGGAAAAAATAAAGAGGATAAAGGCCCAGCTCAGTACAAACGTGTTTTGACTGTGAACAGTGCTGGAAATGCTGATAAAATATCAGAATATAATTCCAAGACTAGCTAAACTTTGTAACTAAACTTTTACATGGTACCTATCTGCAAAGGCTAGAGAAGAGTGTCATTACATGAAAAGGAATAATCACCTGCAGATAAAAAAAAAAGACATCAGTACTGTTAGGTAAATTTGTATATTGCACACTGCACACAGATTTATACTGCTGCAACATTTTTTCCCTTGCATTTGATACAGAATCTACAGGTACAGACTTTTCTATGAAAGATTTTTACAACAGCTCTTTCTCTGTCATAAAAGTAATGCTAGGGACTGGAGAAGCCCTGATTTTAAAGCTTCCGAATACAAATCATGACAACCAGCACCACAGTGCTCAGCTTTATTGATGTCAATTGACATCAATACTCAAAACTCAATGGAAAAATCAAAACAGAGAAAAGGACAAAAAAAAAAACAAAAAAACAGCACTGAGCCAAAGCCCTTCATAAAATACCTGCGTTTTTCCACAAATACACTACAAACAACATATGCTTTTCAACTTGGTGGCTCTGCTACAGCTGCCCTCCTGGCCGCTTTGAGCGAGGCCTCACGACAGCAACAGAACATTGCATGGATTCTTGCATTGGCGATCCTTTAAAGTTAATGTACGTGGGGAACGTCCTGCTTACTGTCATCTATTCTCAGGTCACATAGAGAACAAATCTAAACTTCTTTTGATTCCTCCATGAGCTTGGGCCTGGGGAGTCCACTGACAAGAGGAACTGTTATTATTACAGCCATGACATTTTTAGTAACACGGTGTTTATACATCAGTGACTCTTGTTCTGTGAAAAAAGCACACGGCTTCCACAGAGATGCTCAGTACAATGAATAATTGCTTAGCACTTCATTTTCTACATAATAATCATTTTCTTATATGTAACTAAATATTTTAAGCAGTTTATTAATTCATAAGCTTAGTTGTGAGCATCTCTGTGTTCTTGGCATCAGCACACAGACTGCCTGAAGTGTTGATACTCTATGTCCTCAAACAGTTTCTAAGTGTCCTCGTAATTGCTTGTCACCTGTAAAAGAGGTCTAGATCCAATGCAAAATTAACATATGGTGAACAGATGGACTCAGAACAGACATTTGTCAAGATAGCACTCACACCAAAAATGGCTTGGCTTCTGCCTTTCAGGACCTTCAGAGAAGTCCTTCTTGAAGCTCCAAGTCATACTAATCAAGGGAACATCATTCCTCAATGACAATTCTGTGTTGCAAAAATTTCTATGACCTGCTACTAAAAAGAATCCTTCCAACCTTTCTGCTCTCAGAGCACTTCCTCTTCCAGGAGGGGAAACAAAACATCGCTCCCATAGAATATCCCAACCACCCACCAAGAATAATTCACTGGGCACGAAACAAAAACACAAAAAGCACAAAGTTTTTACGACTTCTGACTTTGTAGCGTTATTTATTTTATTAAAAATCCAAAATAATCCCCACCCCACTGTGCAAACTCTTCAAAATATTCATAAGGTTCCATTACTTACTGAGGAGGTAAGACGAGAGTTGTTGGCTGGGCTTTCGGTCGGCGTTTCGCAGATACTCCCATCTGGTTGGCTGAGCGTTTCAAAGACTGCTGATTCAAAAGGCCAGATGCTAGCCCAGCATGGTACTGCAGCTGGGGAAGGAAAAAACATACATTAAAACACAAACCACCGCAGTGCTCTGTGTCAGACTTCTACTATCTGTATGGCTTGATTAAAAATACAGCCAGCCAGTAAGCTAATGTATGCCATTTCATGTATTGCTTGGATAGAAGATGATACGAACAAAAGCATATAAAAGTCTGCTGTGAAATAGATATTACAAGGAAACTATGCCATTGGGAAAGTAAGATGATGCATCAAAGACTTGAGTAAGTCCTAACTCTCCTGAAACTCGGAGTTGCATTTTAACATTAAGGCTGTTCTCCTCTCGAGGGATCAAGCATCCTTACTTTCCAAAAGAAGGTAATAGGAAGAGAGGTGTGACTTTATCACTGTATAAACTTTTCTTTTTAAAATAATGCTCATCTTTTTTTCCCTAAAACGCAGCATTCACAAAGAAGCCTCTGTCACTCTAAAGAAAAAGCTAGCCTTCAAAATATCAAGCAGCATGTCTTGATAGTGTTACAGCAGAAAGATTCGTATTCAGTAGCTTTCTTCTCTAACCCTTTTATTTTACCTGTCAGTAAAAGACAATTGATGAAGGACATATGTGAATTTACAAGTTTCAGCGCTCTCCCGCTGCTCACAAATTTGAGAACAGCCACAATGCTGTGCCTGTCCTGAAACAACTTTCCAGTGCAACAGGTTCCAAGTCCACCTCGAGACACTTTCAGCTCATGCTCCTGGCTCCCCTTTTGAAGGGGAAGGGGAAAAAAGCTCAAGATTCAACGTGAGACAAACACAATCCTCTTCTTCAGCCAGTCTCTACTTCGACATTTTCATTAAACCATCTACAGAATTGTGCTGCTAACAGTGAACTACTTAACAAGTTACTAACACTGATCACATTACCCACATACAAAAAGATGTACAGTTAGGAAATGATGTCTTACAACATTCAGAACATCAAGCAGCTTTAGGTAGGGTACTGACTGAATCCATGGGAAGCAAAATCTACTGGAAGGTGGCTGTTAACATGAGCAGAGCCACCCAGCCAGCCAATCAGACCCAAATGGCAACGCCTGGAGAAAATGGAGTGCCTTGACACGGTCCTGACATCCCTGGCACATGGTGTGAGCAGTGGCACAGCACCAAGCACCGCCTTAACAACTCCTCTGAGCCCCATGGATTTTGCTCAGATTTGTTCTTCTACAGATTTCTGAAATGAAAAAATCAATGAGAGCAATGGACAGTAATCGTTCAACAGGCAATGTATCGAGGTGTCAGGGGCTTAGCTTTCAATCTTCACTCCCAGAACTTGCAGTGAGCGCAATATGTCGGGAATTAAAGGGAAAGACAGCTCTGGCAGAAGACCCTCTGACTCCAGGAACGCACCTTTCCCTCTTGCACCCTACAGCGAGCTGCTCTCCTTCAGCCATTTTGTGCTGTGGACGCCATCAGTTCACTGCACAGAACGACACTGACACATATCTCAAGTAAATAACATCATTCGGCCACGTGCTCCAAGACAGAGGTAATCACAGGTGTTAATCATAAATGAATTTTAAATGTAACCTTTTGAAAAGGTTTCATAACCTAACTGGCCAGCCTGACATTTAGTGGGCAGACGTAAGGAAAGTAGGAAGTAAAAATAAATAGATCCTAAGAAACAATTCTGTCCTTGAAGGCTTGCTCCCAGTGGTAAAGCTATTTTTATTAATTATAAGTATTTGTACATAATCTACCTTCGCTTCCAGGAATGCAGATCCAACTGTCAAAATCTATAATGGCCCATTAAATATTTACCAAACCATCCTTATAATGGGAGAAAAGGTCAAAGTTAATAAAACTGACAGGCGGTCCTGTCCAGCTTGATTTATGCATTATTAAAGCATCACAGGCTGCACTGCACAGAACACACTCCTTTTTGGGGGCAGAGGGGTGTCAACTGAAAAGATGGGGAAATCCTTTCTTAATCATTTCTTCTGAGCAGGAGAAGTAAGACTGAAAGCGGCAGTCAAGCAATAAGCCAAAGCAACATCAGCAGCATCAGAAAGCCAGGCAGGTGAACTGCACGTCTCTGAGAGCCCAGGACTCAGCTGGGGACCGCAGCATGGTGTCTGCGGATGGGCACAAAAGCCTTCTGCTGCTGTGTTCCCAATGACCTCCCATCTGCTTTTGACTACTGTGTTCATTTAAACAAGCAGACTGGTAAACAGCAAGATCTCTGTCCATAACACAGCTGAACACGTAGTGAACCTGAATACTGGTGCGGCACTGGGTGTACGGGATGCCATTTCTTGGTCAGCCACCAAGGAATTTCCCCATCATTCAGAGGCTTCATTACAGCATGCCTCCATGTCTCTCGGCTGTTGGGAATTCCAGCTGGTTAACAAGAAGCTGGACTCTTTTCTTCATTATGAAATGCTCCTCTAAAATATCAGCAACATTGATTCTTTTTCCCCCAATACACACAAATGAAACAAAATCTATTTCGGAAAACTAAAAACCAACAACGAGTAAAATCAATATACAGCAGTTAGCAGCCAGGATATACATCAGTGCCAACTCGTACAGTTTCACAAGAGCTGATATTTTCCTTAAAACTGTGGTTTCAAAAGTGCAAATCTCACATCTTAAAACCAAGAGAGGCTCTTGTTCTCACAGCTGCTGGAGAACTACTGAAAGCAATACTTCAATACACAGAAAAGCTTTACCTGGAGGAAGATAACGCAGAACATGGATTATTTTTAATTTTCCTTATTTGTGAGATTCACATTTTTTTTTCCACACGGCCTACATTTTCAAAAAGAAATGATTCTCACTTATGTTTTACAGGTGCCAAAATGTATGTTTTCAGTGTTTGAGAACGTGAAACCTGAATTCATATAGGAACGTTGCTCAATCTTCCTGACAAAAGTAAAACACATCTCAACAAGTCAGCACTTTGGAGTCTCTTCTCAATGCTGCAATTCCTTCATTCACTCAACACACCTTTATTTTTAATGTGAGCTATTTAAAGAGAGAAGGCTTATTAGAGAAATACAGATTGGATGGAGTTTCACAGGCACTGATAGTTTTTAAGTTAATCATGTCATATCTCTTCATTGTGTCCCAATGGCTCTTTTCACACCAGAAACAACACAACCCACTGCCTACAACAATCCAAACAAACAAAAAAAACAAGAGAAGAACCTCTCTATTCCTCTGGAAGACAGCACTGCCTTCTGCAGATCATGGTTAAGATTTGGAGTTGGCAGCACTCGTGCTGCAGCCCACGTGGCAGCCGAGGGGCTCAAAGCAGAATGATGCATTCAGCTCCTATCATTCAAGCAGATCAAACTGACATCATCTTGATGGAATATATACGTTTTGGTGTGCAGGTTTACTTGCTGTGTGTTATGAAAGTACATACATACACAGAGTTAATTCAAAACTTTTGAAGTTAAAGCTTCACCATTAGAATCATGCTGGGCCTGAAGGTCTTTGCTTACATAGTTCATGGGTTGCCAACTTCACCCTAACCCTGACCAACCAAGCCATTGCACTCTGCTGACTTACAAGGCCAAGTAAAGGTGCAGAAATTAGGAGGGTGGGTGGATTATTATAACCTGAAGCACTGACCATATAGACTCCCATACACAATCCATTTTATATTAGCATTACTCAAAGCTTTCTAAGCACCAGTTGGTCTGTTTTAAGAGATGAAATCAGAAGAATGACTTTTGTGATTGCATTCAACATGGTGACATTTCTTTCAGACCTTCCCATATTTAAGATACAAACCACACACATAGGTGAGAAAAATCTTTTATATCTATACCTACATATATAAGAGAAATAAAATTTGCATCTCTTGGGTTTCATAGAAGTGCCTCACAGACACTTATCAAAGAATTTTCACTGCAATACTAGCAAATGCATGCACATTTGTTTCCTTTTGACTTGCATGGTACTTTGCCCCCCATCATTATATTATTTCTCCCTTGCAGCTAACAAGGGATTTGTCTGTTATGATAAAACTCTGGCTGTTCTTTTGAAAAGAGCGATCATCAGGCAGCCAGGACACTCCCACAGTTTCATCTCTGCACACTGAAGTAAGCAAAAGAGGAATTACACCTTAATTGTTATTTCTAAGCTCGTCTCAGATAATGAGGCCAGTTTAGAAATTCTCTTTTTTTCCCCAAACAATGTTTGATCATTTTAGAATAGCTGAATTCTCAGCTTGGCCATAACAGCATCAATAAACCAAAAGAGCAGAGTTTCCAATTTATTTACTCATTGGTTTTCCTCTTGTTGAACTGGCTTGCAGGCTGTTCAATTAATAAGAAAGCTAGATGTTGTGCTTTTGCTCTGCTTTACAACTTAATTAGGACACTTTGTTCTGTTATTTTTAAACATTTATCCCTCCATCACTTCCCAGTTTATGAGATTATTTAAACAACAAATATCTATCCATTAAGGGAACAAGGCCTAACCCCATTTCATTCTTTTTTTTTCCAAATCCCACTACAAAAGTTATTCCATCCTTTCCTGATCTCCCTGATCTAACTACAGTGTGAAACTAATGAGCTCGCACTTCTGTTAAAAGCCTCTTGCATGCAACTGATCTTATTGGCATTGCATTGGGATGCACACTGCCAGTGCTGGTCAATAACCATCGGTGGGCAGCGCTCTGCAGACACGACCTTGCTTTTCCTTAGGTCTCTCCTCCCAGGGCTGGGAATTGAAGAACAAGTTCACACATGTATATACTTGATAAAACAGGAGGAAAAGCATCGCTACGTTTCCCCGTTGGCCTTAATGCTTTGCCTTCCCTATGTCTTTTATCCTATTGTCTTCGGATTCATACTTTTGCTGAAAGCGCTGTTTTAATTAGCATTAGGTTTCAGCCTTAAATTGCGTTCATCCTACACTTTTCTTCCAAAAACATTGAAGTTCTGCTGAATGACTGCATCAACATCCCCTCATTCCAATACTGCTTGCAAGCCTTTGGCTTTTAACTATGCAGAGATTGCAAATCTGGCACTTC